CAAATTCTGTTTCTGTTATCGGTTTAGTATTTCTTGTTGTTCCTCCATAATTTTACACAAGTTTGTTCCCTCTATATAGTCTTTAACTTTTTCTTCTGCTATCTCTTCCTGACAATATAAATTTGAGAAAAACTTTTGTATAAATTCCTTTTTATCCTCCCTTTTGTGTTGCATTATTCCATTTTCACCTTTCAATTGATATATCATTCTTTTATCTTTTTTTTTTAATTTATAAGCCAACCATCTACCCGTTTTATTCGCATGTTCAAAATAATTTTGTTTTGACAACTTTATTTTCTGTGCTATTTCCTTTTGGATTGTTAAATTTATTTTATGTTTGACTATATTCCATTCCCTTTTCCTTTCTCCTCTTATTTATCTTTCTTTATGATTTATTCTATGATTTGTCTTTCCCTCTCCACCACTCCTCCTATCATTTATCTTACTTTAATAGCAACTTTTCTCTTCTTTTAACTCCCTGCGATGTAACTATGCTTCCTCCATTGCCACCATCTTTTGAATGTGGAGTGGCCACTGTGAAGGTGACCACTCCACCCGCTGCTTGGCTGGTCTCTACTATGTTGCTGGACAGACATCTGGGCAAGTGTTTCTCTGGCTGTCCGATTTTCGATCGCCTCTTGCAGCAGATACAATGCATGGCTCATGAGGCCCTCATAGTCAGAATTGGGAGGGGGAAATCTCACCACAAACTCCCCTCTGTTCTGTGGGATCCTTGATAGCCTCTGGTAAAAGGCATTCCCAACAGATGCTCTTCAGGGACCTCCAGCTGTCCTATGCCTAGTGACCATCTGGCTCAGACTGGCTTCTCATCAAGCTCCAATTCCTCCAGCCATTCCGCCTCATCTCGAGTGTTAGAGTTGGAAGGGACCTTGGAGGTCTTCTAGTCCAACCCCCTGTTTAGGCAAAAAACCCTAAAACCATTTCAGACAAATGGTTATCCAATCTCTTCTTAAAAACTTCCAGGGTTGGAGCATTTACAACATCTGGAAGCAAAGCTCTGAGCTCTGGTGGCTCAGCAGACTAAAGCACTGTTATTAACATCCACTTACATCTGCTGCCTGCAATTACTGCAAGTTCAAATCTCACCAGGCTCAAGGTTGACTCAGCCTTCCATTCTTTCTAAGGTAGGTAAAATGAGAACCCAGATTATGGGGGCAATAAACTGACTTTGTATAAATATACAAAAGTATGAAGGCTATTGCTTAACACATTGTAAGCTGCCCTGAGTCTCCGGAGAAGGGCCGCATATAAATCAAATTTTTAAAAAAAAGTGGCTCAAAGGAGCCTGGCTGTCACAAGATTTTCAGCACTCAGGCCGTGTGTCTTCTCAAACAACATGAATTAATGCAAAGGGACAACTTGGTCCCTGTGAAAGTGTCAGATTCTCATTTGATACCAGCAGAACTGACAGCTGAGACTCGTTGTGGCAGGATGAATGACAGAGCTGGGCAGTGCCGGTATTAACTAATCAGAACAGCTCAGCTGCTGCAGGTGATTTGATGGCTGTTTATTTATCTCTGACCCTCCTTATTCCATCCATAGAATAGAGCTGGAAGGGACCTTGGAGGTCTTCTAGTAGTAAATACAATATGTTAATCTCCTCTAAATTAATTCTTCTATTATAGATAATAATAAGATTGCTATATATAAAGGTTTAGGTCTAATTGATCTATATGCCTATAAATATAAATATAAGTATAGATTATATAATTACATATTTATATGTAACTTATAGTATGTATTGTAAGTATTTCTGCACTTTGTACTATACAAAGTCCTCTGATCAGCTGGGTATTTAAGGTATGTAGATCTGCAGATATTTACAAATATTTTCCTGTCCAGTCTCTATATATTACATCAGCCACTGTTCGTCTTCTTGCCACTAGATGGCTCTTTCCGTCTATTTAACACAGTCTCTCTTCCCACACAAGTGAAAGTTCTTTTTGCAAAACTCGCAAAGTCCAGAAAATTCCACACAGTTCAAAATGCTCTATTTCAGCACAGTCCCAATCCAGATAATTAATGTGTCTTACAGTTTAGTTTGCCCCCTTCCAGGGCTTCCCCACATTCTATGTCTCACAGTTTAATATTCTCAATCTTCTACAAGCCTCCGCTCCTACTGCCAAATCACCGCTATATCCAGAGACCACTTCTCCCCTCACCTTGGAGACTCACTCTCACCATAGTGTTAATTCCAGGTCCCACTCTCCTTGGGTACAATCTCCTCGAATGCTGGGTTCACTAAGCTGCCACCGATGCCTTCATGCTGCTTTCCCCTTTTTTCTTCCTGATCCATAGTTGGGAATGACAGCTCTGGGTCTGCCATAATGGCTGACCTCCTTCTCATCAAATTTGGGGGGCTTCCCTTCCTCATAATGGGAGGTTGCTTTCCTTCTCATTACCTCCCGGGCTTCCCCTCTATTTCGTAGATTCCTCCAGGATTTACATGCTGGTTGCAGATCAATACTAATTTTATTATGAAGTTCCCACCACTCTGTTTTGACTTTTTTCTATATGTACTAAATGGAATTAGGATCATATACTCTTAAAGTCCTGCAGCTGCTACTAATATTGTATTATTTGTACCTTGTGCATGAGCTAAGAAACTATACATACTAAATTTGAAGCACATGATCAAATTCAGGTTGTCTAGATTTGTAGATATGAGTGGCAGTGTGATAGTCAGAAACCAATCATAGTCTCAAACAGAGTGAAAGAAATTTTTCAAATTCCTACTTCAGACCCACTACTTCTGTTGAATGGGCTGAATATCTATTATATCTGAACAACTATTGTGATCTGCAAAACACTATTGTGATCTGCAAAACTTGTTCCATGTATACACTTATGCCCATAGAAGACCAGACTATATATGTATAAAATGTAAACTAATCAAGTTACTAGAAGAAAAAGTAAAGGGTCTAGAGCAGGGGTGTCAAACTCAATTTCATTGAGGGTCAGATCAGCATTGTGGTTGTCTTCTGGGGCCAGGGGGAAGGATGGATATGAGTGATCACAGCAGACTGGGAGTGGAGGGGGGTGGCCAGCTCAAGTTGCTCATGTGGGTGTGCTGACAGGGTTGAGGAGGGTATCCAGGGGTCTCCAGTGGGTTGGATGGTGGGTGGGCGGTTCATCCAGTGGGATGAGGTGAGGCAAGGCAGGGGGCAGGGTGGCTGCAGCCAGAAACCTCATCTTGTCTCAGCCTGCAGTGGCGACAGTAGCCTCTTCTTACAAACAGAAAAGAAGTGATAGAGGGAGCTGAAATGCAGGAACCTTGGGTGAGAGTGACCATGTCATACTAGAATTCAACATAATGCAAATATAAGTAATAGAACATAATGATACCAGATTTTGAAAGAGCTGATTTTAACAAACTCAAAGATAACTTAGGAAAGATTCCTTGGATGAAAATCCTAAAGGGAAAAACAACTCAAGAATCTTGGGAAATTGAAAAATATGGTCATAAAAGCCCAGACCAGCACAATACCACTGAAAAAGAAAAACAAGAAATCCAAGAAGAAACCAGCATTGCTACACAATGATCTCTTTGACAAATTGAAAGACAAAAAGGAGAAGTACAAAAAATGGAAAGAGGGACACGCAACTAAGGCAGAATATCAGCAGATAGCCAGAACATGCAATGACGAAGTCAGGAAAGCAAAGGCTCAGAATGAACAAAGACTTGCAAGAAAAGTCAAAGATAATAAAAAGTTTCTTCCAACATATAAATAACAAGAAAAAAATCAAGGAAAAGTTGGTCCACTAAAGAGAGAAGGTGGCAGGGAAGTAACAGGCAGCAGAAAGAAATAGAATACTGCATCCAGTTTTGGTCAACACACTGTAAAAAAGATGTTGAAAAATCTAGAAAAAATGCAGAGATGAGTAACCAAGATAACCTGGAGGCTAAAACATACAATGAATGGTTTCAGGAACTGGGCATGGCTTGTCTAGTGAAGAGAAGGACCAGAGGAGGCAAGATAGCAGTGTTCTAATATTTGAGTGGCTGCCACAGAGAGGAGGGGATCAACCTATTTTCCAAAGCACCTGAAGGCCAGACAAGGAATAATGGATGGAAACTGAACAAGGAGAGATTCAACCTGGAAATAAGGAATAATTTTCTGACAGTGAGAACAATCAACCAGTGGAACAGCTTGGCTTCAGAAGTTGTGGGAGCTTCATTACTGGAAGCTTTCAAGAAGAGACTGGTCTGCCACTTGTCCAAAATGGTGTAGGGTCGCCTGCTTAGGCAGGGGGTTAGACTAGAAGACCTACAAGGTCCCTTCCAATGTTGTTAAACTAGTAATCTTTAACCACTTTTGAGCAATTTGAGGGATAATGAATAGGTGGGTTAAAATTGTGAGATTGCTTAGCTGGATTTGCTGAAAATTAGTACTGTTCGATAAAAGGTATTTTAACCACAGGGTATAAACCCATGAAAAGTTTTATAGGTTAAACCTTGTACAATAAATTCTGTAATCAATGTATGCCCAGAGACAAAACTAAATGTAAATTCTGGAGCACAGTTTTACCATTTTTTATTTAAGTAATTCTTAAGAATATAAATAATTATTCTATATATATATGAAATGACACTCTAAAACATAAATATTCATAGTAATATTAAAATATACGAACAACTCTTGTACTTTAAAGGTAAAGGTTCCCCTTGCACATATGTGCTAGTCTTTCCCGACTCTAGGGGACGGTGCTCATCTCCATTTCAAAGCTGAAGAGCCAGCACTGTCCAAAGACATCTCCGTGGTCATGTGGCCAGCATGACTAAATGCCAAAGGAACACAGAACGCTGTTACTTTCCCACCAAAGGTGGTCCCTATTTTTCTACTTGCATTTTTTACTTTTTTCGAACTGCTAGGTTGGCAGAAGCTGGGACAAGTAACGGGAGCTCACCCTGTTACGCAGCACTAGGGATTCGAACCGCTGAACTGCCAATCTTTCAATCAACAAGCTCAGCTTCTTAGCTACTGAGCCACTGCGTCCCTTTCTTGTACTTTAGAAAGTAACAAAATGGAAACAGTAAGAAGCAAAATTTATGATATTTTGTTTCTGAGGTTGGGAAATCGGAGTGATGCAATAGCTGTTGCACTAAAATTTCACAAGAAAAAAATCAATGAATTTATTTTTATCTTCATTAGTGATCATATGCTCTTAATTATAGTACAGCTCTTTACTAGAATGTTTCACATTCAAACAAAGCATATGTTGAAGCATATTTGCTTACCTCCATCTAGTTCTTCTGCACCAAAATGGTTCCTGTAGAATAGCATAATTTCTATCTTGTAGCACTTGTAAATAGTCACTAAACAAACAAGTAGCAGCAAAATAGCACCAAGTCCTCCAGCAAGTTCAACTGTATACATCAGCTCTGAAAAAAAGAATAAAGATTAATAACCACCATATTCTGATCTAAAAGCAGTAATTTATTATCATATCTTGGGGCAAGAAGGAATTTTCTGTTTTTCTGAATGCAAAAACAAAGTGTTTTTTTATTTCTTGGTATAACACACACACACATACAGAGAGAGAAAGAGTAGGCATTAATATTTTTGTGGTGTGTAACTGGTGTATGACATACAATGTTCACATAGGATGAAGCTAAGTATCAGCCCTTTTCTCAACACAAAATTATCATTCCTTTTTTATCAGCTACATTTGTTTTAATATATCCCCCTTCCTTGGTGTTATACAATACACAATATCTCCTCTACTATATAAATGTTTATATATAAACATTTTTAAGAAAAATGTTGAAAATCATCTCAATTTGTCATTTTTGACATTTTGACATTAAGAGGTGAAACATTATCATTTCTTGTGTAGCACTGTACCATGGGATATTGTATGATTGATTGAAACAACTGACAGCTTAGTTTCCAAAGAAGAAGAGGTTTGGGCAAATGTGATCATATCTGTCTGTCAACAATAATCATTTGGTAATATCATTTATGAAATTATGTCTGTCATGCCCCAGCATATAATTTTTATATACTGTTGTTGCTCTCTAGCCTTATCTAGTGACCGGAGGGACAAATATGCCCCAACATACGATCTTTGTATACTGTTGTTGCGCTCTAGTCCCATTTAGTGGCCGGAGAGACAAACACCAAGCATATTGTTTGAAGCTGACCCCACCCCATTACCCATCAGCCCACACTCTCAAACCAAGTGCACGCTGGGAAGCCAGACTCCATTTTCCTTTAGCATTTGGAGAAGCAGAAGCACAAAGAAGAATCCATTTTAATCTGTGGCACATGGTCATCCAAGGATAATTCCATAGCACACACAGAACATGTGATGGTGATATTTAAATTGCTTGTATTTATTAATAGTTATGTTCAGCAGTAACTCAATACTATCTTGTATTTGGTTCTCGTTGTATGTATGCCTATTTTCTTCAGTTTCACCATATCCTGTTCTTTCAATAAAACATTCAGATCTACGCACACAGTCTGTTTTATTGGAGGATAGGTGGATTTAGCTGCATGTTGAGCTGCACACAGACTAACATGTAGTAGAGACAGAACAATGTCAGTAAATGATAATGTCATCATTGGTCATTGTCCTCACATTTTTCAAGCAGGGATAGACATGCACATTTCCATTTGAAGTCAACTATAATCTAGTTGTTTGCCTGGAAGATCTATGATAGATGAAAACCACTAATAAAGCTGCAGTGCCAGATCATTTCCCTGGAAATAACCCCAATAAAGATTGGATTTCTTGGAAATTATTTCAGTATCATAAGGATGTTATACTGAATTTTCACTGAGGATGAAGAATTGTATATTGTTCTAAAAAGTGTTAAAAATAGCTTGGTTAGTAAGTTGTGTAGCATTTACCTTTTAAAATGGTTATGGCTGGAGTAAGAAAAAAGCCTAATACAGACACAAACAATGCTTTGTTGGCGGTGGATCAGATGTCCCTGCAAGCAGCTTCACAACTGAGGACAACACTATGGTGGAATCACCATCTTGGAGTCAGTTTTCTAGCAGAAGAAAATCTCTCTTGGGAAAGGACTGGGAATGATCCACTTCTGCTTCTTGTGAGGAGACCACAGGAATTGAGTTTCTCCTGGTTGATTGTGAGTGGAGCAGCTTGGAGCCAAAACATTTACAACACATTCTTAGCCACTGTGCAATCTGTACAGACATTGCATAGTAAAAACCTCATTTTCTTGAACACCTTTGGATCTTATTGATTTACACCCTAAGACCGATATCATAAACAGCATGGAAGATCAAAGTCTCCAATCAGTTGCCTTCTTTCTGAAACTAAGATTAGGGGGGAAATGCCTTCTTAAAGGATTTTAATTTAAAAGGAAATACCTTAACAAGATTGTGATTTAAGAAAATTTTAAATGGATGTAGGTGAACATATTTCTAGAAAATAGAAAATTTGTTTCTAACATATCTAACAAAGTAGCAAACTTAATTAGACTAACAGATAGGTGCTTTGTGGGCATGTTTATTATTATTAAGGACAGTAGATAATTGGTGAACTTTACAAAACAAATGTGTGAGTGTGCATGTGTATGTGTGTATGCGTGTGTATAATACATATACATACATACATGTACCGTATTTTCCGGCGTATAAGATGACTGAGCGTATAAGACGACCCCCGAATTTTCCTGTTAAAATATAGGGTTTGGGCTATACTTGACATATAAGACTACCCCTCTTCCAACGCACACCAAATAAAAATTAAAAAAACATCAACTAGCTCACCCACAATGTAAAAGCAGCTGTGCTAGACCCAAAATGGCCCCTGAAACAAGCAGGAACCTCACACAGCACAAAAAGCCCCAAAAAACAACTTTCACACTTTACACACACACAACACAACTGGCTCACCCACAATTTAAAGGCAGCTGTGCTAGACCCAAAATGGCCACTGCAACAAACAGGAACCTCACACAGCCACAAAAAGCCCAAAAACCCAACTTTCACACTTTACACACACAAAATTCCACATACAGCTTTGTGACATTTTGTATGTTTGTGTAGTTAGAGTGAAACACTACAGAAACACACTAAATCTCAGAAAGCTGCACAAATATTATTTTATTTTATTTTTATTTTTATATGAAAGCTAAATTTAAAACTTCCTAAACTTTAAATGGCTAGGTCTAAAAAATAACAACTAAAAAAACCCCCAATTAACTATTTTTTTAAAGATCTCAAAGGGGAAAAAAACTTACCCAATAGAACAGGGGTCTCCAACCTTGGCAACTTTAAGACTTGTAGACTTCAACTCCCAGAATTCCTCAGCCAGCTTTGTTTTGCTGGCTGAGGAATTCTGGGAGTTGAATTCCACAACTCCCTGCCTGCTTGATTGCAGGCAGGGAGTTGCTTGCTGATGGAATGGATTCAGGCAAGTGAAGCAAGGCAAGCAGCTGAGGCAGTGGTTCTCAACCTTCCTAATGCCACGACCCTTTAATACAGTTCCTCATGTTGTGGTGACTCCCAACGATAAAATTATTCCTAAAACCATCAAAAATATTTGTTTTCCGATGGTCTTAGGCCAGGGGTCCCCAACCTTTTGGACCTCAGGGACCACCAACTTCATAATTTTAAATTTCGCGGACCACTAATACGAATCCAGTGCGCTGCTTGCTGAAGCACCTGGACTCCCAGTACAGGATGGGCTCCTTCAGGCACTCTCCCTCCTCTCTGTCTCTCTCGCTGTGTCTCCCACTCTTTCTCTCTCATTCTCTCTTTCTCTCTCTCTCATTTTCGCTTTCTCTCTCTCTCTCCCTCTCTTTCTTTCTCTCCCACTCTTTCTTAGTCTCTCTTTCTCTCTCCCCCCTCTCTCCCCCGCTCTCATTCTCTTTCTCTCTCCCCCTCTCTTTCTCATTCTTTCTTTCCCCCACTCTTTTTCTTTCTTTCCCCCCTCTCTCTCATTCTCTTTCTCCCCCCTCTTTCTCATTCTCTCTTTCTCTCTCTCTCCCACTCTCTCTCTCTTTCTCTCTCCCCTTCTGTCTCTCTCCCCCACTCTCTCATTCTCTCTTTCTTTCTGTCCCCCTTTTTCTCTCTCCCCCCACTCTTTCTCTCTTTCTCTTTCTCTCTCCCCCTCTTTCTCTCTCTCTCCCCACTCTCTCTCTCTCTCTCTCATTCTGATTCTCTCATTCTGATTCTTTCATTTTGTCTCTCTCTCTCTCTCATTCTCTCTCTGATTCTTTGATTCTCTTTCATTCTCTGTCTCTTTCTCTGTCTCTCATTCTCTCTCTCTCTCTCTTTCTGATTCTCTCTGTCTCTTTCTCTCATTCTCTTTCATTCTGTTTTTCTCTCTCTTTCATTCTTTGTCTCTTTCTCTCTCTGTCTCATTCTGATTCTCTCTCTCTCATTCTCTCTTTCATTCTTTGTCTCTTTCTCTCTCTGTCTCATTCTGATTCTCTCTCTTTCTCTCTCATTCTCTCTCTCATCTCATGGGCCAGCCAGTGTCTTGGGGCTGAGAGGAAGTCAAGCATCTCCCTGAGAGACTGAGGGCCGGAAGAAGTGTGGGAGCGAAGTACTACTTGAACTTGTGTGGCATGAGCATTCGCCTTGGTATATTTGCGCCAGCCGATGGCCAAGGCAGCCCTCATCTCTCTGCTGAAAGTGCAGCATCAGGATTCTGCCTTGGTATATTTGTGGTGCAAGGCAGCCTTCGTTTCCTGCTGCTTGGGACTCAGAGCGGTAAATGGTGACTGGTCCGGGGAGCAGCTGGATTTTGCTCTCCATTGCAGATGCCAGATCAGCCCCCTGCAAGATCTGATCTTTCGAGGAGCACTCCCGGAAGTGGCACTGGAAACTTTGGTCGGGCTCCTCGAGAGACGAGAGCTTGCAGGGAGCCGATCTGGCATCCGGATTAGAGAGCAAAATCCAGCTGCTCTCCGGATCAAGACACCATTTACCACTCTGAGTCCCAGGCAGCAGGAGAGGAGGGCTGCCTTGCGCCACTGGCTGGCACAAATATACCTAGGCAGAATCCTGATGCCGCTCTTACAGCGGAGAGAAGAAGCCAGATTTTGCTCTCCATTGCAGACACCAGATCGCCCCCCTGCAAGCTCTCCTCTCTCAAGGAGCCCAACCAAAGTTTCCAGCCCCGCTTCAGGGAGCGCTCCTCGAGAGACAAGAGCTTGCAGGGGGCCAATCTGGCATCCGGATTAGAGAGCAAAATCCAGACACCATTTACCACTCTGAGTCCCAGGCGCAGGAGAGGAGGGCTGCCTTGCGCCACTGGCTGGCACAAATATACCAAGGCGGAATGCTGTTGCCATACAAATGAAAGTAGTGCTTCACTCCCACAGCTTCCAGCCATCGCAAATGCCGCTTCTTCCCACTTCTGCCACCCCCTCCCCCACTGCCACAACAGCACCATTCA